GCCAGGCGCATATGCGTGTGTGCCCCAAGATCCCAAGAGGAGAAAGGAGGAAAAGGGATTGTAGCGTGGCCATGCCCCCTGGGGGATGATTTCTCGTTTTCTATCTCTCCATCTCTCTCTGTCTTTCTGGCGAGCACATGCACCCTATAGTAAAAACCTCTCCAAAGAAAAAAAGAATTATGAGGACTCAGGGAACCAGGCAATAATATTTCCATAAGTCCATGTTTAACACTGAATTTATATCCCTTTATACCAATTTTAGCTCTTTAACTCAGGTGCATTGCATTGGCTACTTAGCACGCAATTTTGTAAGACGTTTTCTTTTCTTTGGTTAATTTTGACTTAACAGTTTAGAAAACCAATCAGTTTACATAGAAAATGAAGATTTTACCCAGTTAAATTATTGGATTTTTTTTTTTTTAGAACCCTGTACTTGTAAGAGTACATTCTCTTTCCATCCTCTTTGTGAATTTCCGTAAGGGCATAACATTAGGATTATAGCCATAGTTAATGCTCTGACAAAAATTCATAACTGATAAAGAAATTTGGCTATATATACCTGTTTTACATAATAGCCTACCATAAATTCCTGGGAATCTAAAATTATTTTGGAACATAATACATATGTAGATATACAAGTACATATTTATACAAATAACTCAAATATAATACGAAAAAACTAGAATTACTTAATTTGACAATGCTTTCCATTTTTATCCAACATATAAACAATAAGCCTGATCAGTTTAATGTCTGCCTTTTGGATGTCTCAGGGGCCCTCTGTAAACATCCAAGAGTGACTTTGAGGTCAAAGATCCTCTGTTAGCACTAAAACAAGTGCCAGAAAAGGCTAGTCATGAATTCGTGTCCCTGTTGCAACACACAACACATAAATACTAGCTGTTTCATTAAACCAACCATATTAAGATAAACATGATGTTGCTTGATTAATAAAAACCTGGGTAAAATATATATATTGGAAATTGTGAAGACTTTTACTTGTTATCTTTTTTTTTTCCATTATATTTGAAGCCAGCTTATTTACTAAAGTTATATAAACTTGAAAAGCATTTAAACTAATTTGTATGAGCGCTGGGTTTTTTTTTTGGAGAGGTTTTTGCTATAGGGCGCATGTGCTCGCCAGACAGACAGAGATAGAGAGATAGAAAGCGAGAAATCACCCCCCCGGGGGGTGGCCACGCCGCAATCCCTTCTCCTCTGTTCTCCTCTCGGGACTTCTCCTCCATTCTCCTCTTGGGATCCTGGGCATGCACGCACACGTGTCCGGCATGAGTTTAAGCCACCGGGTCCAGGACTCAAACCTCAGTCGGCTACATGGGAGTTCAGCGACACAGCCATTACACTAACTGCTGGTTCCAAATGGGTGGATATCTTGGAGAATCCACTCAAGGAAGATCATTTAGTTCATTCAACTTGATGAAGCCTATGTTCTTCGCGTACTGATGGAAACACTGACGGCACATGTCGAGGCCGTATTTCCGGATCAGACCGCGCCGGTTCAAGCACACACAGCAAGAGCAAGAACCCTGGCCGAATTTTCACGGGTGGCTCCAGTAGAGCTGCTGATGACCCATCCTGCTTTCAGCAGGGCAACGAAGCAAAAGGACCATTAGAATTTTTACAACGCAAATATTCTTCCTATTTCTACCTCTTCTAAGTGTGATGTTTTAAAAAGGCCCTCTCAGATTTTGGATGCCATAATCATAACTTTCCACAAATGTCTCATTGAAATGCTTGAGCATGCATTCTAAGGGAGTTTTAAAGGAGCTATTCTGGCCTTCCAGTATTTCTAAAAAGGCAAGTATGCTTTTTGGTCAGGATGTACCCTGGGACACTCCAGGACCATCTTGCCTCCACCTGTACCTCCTATGGTCACGAGGCAATTCCTAGTGATGGTGCTGTGACTATAGGGACCACCAGATCTCGAATGCCTTGATTTCCCAGCTAGCCCCAGTTATAACAGGAATAGCAAGGCTAACAAGACTCAGATTTAAAAGAGAGCCACTCCCTTAGAGTGCAGGTAAAATGCCAGAGGGCTGAAGTAACAGAAAAGTCTCTAGAGCAGGGACACTAAGGAGACAGCTGAGGTGAGACCGAGAGAGCACAAGGGAGGATGGGGCTCTCAGCTGGATAGAGGTGAACTTGGGCAAGGCAAACTGGGGCCCTGGCAAACTCCTCTCGATGGCAGAGGAAATGGGTTAGGACAAGAGCCTTGTAAAGTTCTGTCAAGAATCCAGCAGGCACGTCTACTCAAATTGCCTGCTAATAAAGATGCAATCCTTAGGCCGCAGTACAAGACAGCAAAGAACCTGCAGAGTATATTTTTCTTGAACTTTCTCTATGACCTTCTCAAGAAACAAAAGACCCAGCTTCTGAGGACAGAGATCTGCCTGTCATGAAAAAAGGAGTGGCCATTCCCCACTTTCCCCCCCAAGATGACGATGTAAGACAAACAAGGTATAGGTGCCCCCTCTCACTGCCCAAGACCGTTTCCACAACTTTCCCCCAAAATAAAGGACCTAGCCTTCTAAGACAGAGGGGCTACCAGTCTTGGGAGGAGCAGCCTCTTTTCCTTAATTTCAATTTTTCCATTTTTGTTTTTCTATATGGTTCTGAGACAGACAAAGGGTGGGTACCCCCTCTGAAGAGGAAATCAGTCAGGTGTCTACCTGGCCACACTCCTCGCAGGGACCTTAGGAAGCCTCTCAGCCTTGGTAACCAGCTATGTAAATCCGCTGTCAGATCGAATGCACAAGGAGGATCAGTGACCCCCAGCATCGATTTTACCTTGTGGCTATATGAGGCCTCTATGGAACTGCAGGTTAGGACCCACTCAGACTCAGTCAAGGCCATGGAGCCAGAAACAAACTCACACTTTCATTCACACCAGAGTTTAAAACATTTCCTCCCACCAGCTATATGATTAAGTCAAGAAGGAAAACAAAAAGATCCTGAATACCCAGGGACTCAAACCCTGATTTACCACAAACCTTGTAAGGGCTAGAGGGGACTCAAACCCCTGACAATTATTCTAGCCCCCGGAACCTAAATGGGGGCTCTAAAACTGAGTCCTGTCAGCCCTGAATCCAGCAACCTGAGGAGGAACTTGAACCCCAACCCAGCAGGCCAGATTTCAGGGGGCTTTCCTTTCCTCTGCCAACCCTGTACTCACCAGTTTACTTCCCAAAGAGCATGACAGGAACACCAAAAGAAATGTCTCTGGAGGTCTTACACTAGAACTCCACATTTTTGGAGGAGTAGTCAGTGTCTCTCGCCTAGCTGTAAATCCCAAAAGGGGACACTGGGGACCTTGGAAATGCCAGGTGGCACACTTCCCCAGAGTACTCTCTGGGTAGCTGGCAGCTGGCCCAAGTGAGGTCGCTATCTTAGGATGCCTCATCCAAGTATCAATAGGTACTCATCTCACTGAGGCCTCCAGATGTTATAGTCTACCCAGCAAGAAATAAGAGGACATCCAGACTCAGCCAAATTTATTGGAGTTTATTGGTTAAGCCAACGGCACACGGGGGATTCATGTCTCTCAAAACTCTGCAGCCCCAAGTGCAAGGTGAGGGGTGGTTATAAAGGCAAAAATCACACTTTTCAGGGTTGACATGGCAATCACAAGAACAAAGAGCAGTGGGCTGAAAGGGTAGGGGGTAGGGTTTTCCAATGTAAAAGCAATAGTGAACTACAGAAGCAAAATAAACAGGTTAATCATTCCTAAAGGTATGGTCCATCCCTACATAAACACAATGGAATCTTAATGGTGCTCATGACTCAGGGCAAGGGGGTCTGGTGACTTATGATTACATCACAAAGGAACATCTTAGGGTAGGGAGTTTTAGGTTATGTAGCACAGACAGTAGGAGTATCAATCACTCTGTTTACTGTAGGTCAAAGGAGAAAACAAGTTCCCAAAAGAGAGAGGATTCAAAATGGAGGTCTACGTCAGTGTGAAAGCTCCCAGAACATCCTTATAAGAAACAAGACCTTGTTATGTCTAACAAAGGTATAACCTTGGAAACTGACTCAATGTTCCTTTTTTTTTTTTTTTAATCTGCCAGAGGGCACCTGTACTATCCAGAGAGAGTCAGATGTGAATGAGAAAGCATTCTGCAATGGAGTGTGGTCATGCTGTAATTCCCTTCTCCATTTCTCCAGCCTGTCAGAATTTGGGGCATGTATACACAAGTGCCCAATATGTTTTTCAAGCCATTTGGGGCCAGGATTAGTACTATGGTCAGTCATGGGGAATCCAGTCCCTTTAACCACTAAGCTACAGGCTGGCCCTCCACTTTAGAGAAATTGGTCCTAACTAAACCAAGAGGGTTGGACATAAATATATCCCTTGGGATAGGAATGCTTGGTTTTATTTTGACAAGGTCAGGCATTCATCAACAAACACTGGAATGACTTTTGTGAAGGAGGCACTATTTAGGCATAAAGGTAACAGTAATAAGCTACACAAAGTCCCTTTTTGATGGTTACATTCTGGTTGTACAGCAGCTGATACAATGTCAAGTAATGATAAATACTGTGGTGAAAACGAAACTGGGTGTAAAGAGTAGAAGGAACTTTAGACTGGCCTTACTGGATGGTTCGATCAATAGAGGTTATATTTAAGCTGAAATGTTCCAAATGCGGAAGTGTGTTGATAAAAGGTACTACTTCCCCCTGCTGGTTATAGCCTCATGGTTAAGAAAGCCCAGTCTCTGAGCCTGCAGGTGGTGCAGTAGTTAAGGTGCTTGGACTCCCACATAGCAGACCATGGTTCGAGTTGGGACCTAGCAGCTTGCTGTTGCACTTTCCCTTTCTCTCTTTGGTCAAATTAAAAATATATTTATATATAGTAATAACAAATAAAATAAATGATTCTTTAAAAAAGAAAGCTGAATCTCACATGGTTGACATGTGGCTTGGTGGACACTACATGTGAGCCCCAAACCCCCATGAGATGGAGAAATGAGATGGGGGGGGGGTTGGTGCTTTCTTGGTCTCCCTCTCTCTCTGGCAAGCACACGTATCCATGTCAATTAAAGAAAAGGTTAATGGTATTAGGAGGTCTTTCAAACTTGTCTCACTACCTTTTCTCAATTCCTCTGCTCTCTTCTGTTGATGATTGTGTATCACACTTCATTGAAAAAAAAGAAAACAGCTCTATCTCCACCCTCTACCTACTCCTCCTGCCTACTGTAATAGGTACTATTTAACTAAAATAGTCATGCCAACACTCACGATGGATCCTGACTGTACTAAGATTTAGTCCATGTACCAAGGAAATTTCACCATCCTAGAGCCTGTAAACAAGAACAGGCTCAAGAAGGTACTAAAAAACAAAAAAGTGCCTGGAGCAGGAGGCAGACACACTAAGACAAGGCTAAGGTCACAGAGCGCGAACAGCTGCAACGGCCTACCACAGGTCACTAAACTAGGCTGTTAAGCATTTCTGGGTTGTTTCCCAGAATAGGCCAGAGGCAGCAACACACGTAGCTTTGCTGGAGAGGCTGGCATCGCCCCTCACAGGCAAGAGATGGAACTGAGCAGACGACAGAGCTCTCCCGAGTCACAAGGGAGCACGTGAGCGGCCTGGCACACCGCGCATGCCCGGGACGCAGTCGGGCTCCAGGACGATCGGACCAAGATGGCTGCAGAGGAGGGGCCCGGAAGTGCGTCTTCCCCCGGCGGTAGCCGGCGAGCTGAGGACATGGAGCGGATTCTACCCGTGCTGTTGGTGCCGATCCCGGCCGAGGCCACAAGGCGGCTGGGATCCCGAGCGGAGCTGCACGCGGAGCAGGAGGTTCTGGCGAGCCTGACGGCCTCGGGCAACCTCCAAGTGCTTTCCGTGGCGGCCGGCGGCCGGGATGGGCTTGGCTGCTGCCTCGAGGGCCCCTTCCAGCAGTAAGTTCTTGGGCCAGCTGCGCAGTGTCGGGGAGTCTGGAGCTCTAGCTGGGCGGGCTGTCCCCCCGCGGGGTCATCTTGATGCACACCCTGCTGGCGTGTGGGTGGGCGCCGCAGAGACTCTCGCCCCGGCCCTGCGCGCGTCCGCGCACGTCTGCTCTCGGCTCCGGGGGCGGGGCCGGCCTCGCGCTTGTCTGCTCCCGCGGCGAACCCGGGCACGGTCCCGGTGTAGGCGCGGACTCGCTCCGTTCTATCCTGGTTGGCTGATTGTCGCGGTGCAGTAGCGGGCTCATTTCCTTCTGTCACTTAGATTCCTCACAGTGGGACATCGTCTCTACTTTAAGTCATCCTGATACCCTTTTCTTACCCCTGAAACAAATAACTTTTTTTTTTCCTGCAAGGACACCATCCTCTTTGCCCAATCACTAATTTTTTTATTCAACAAATATTATGTGCCTACTGTTACATAGGAGCAGTGCCTAAAAAGTTAAATAAGTTACGGTTCTTACATGTGAGGCTGGCATGATTTGGGAAGATGGATTTCAATAATGCATGACGTTCTATTTCTGTAACTCAGTTCAGTAATTATAGTTTACATCCTAGTTTGAGAGTGCTCTCTGAGAGTTCCCTGGGCGTTTTTAAATAATATTTCAGAAACGATCTCTTTTTTGGGGGTGGGGTGGGGGGGAGAGGTTTTTGCTATAGGGTGCATGCTCTCGCCAGACAGACAGACAGAGACAGAAAGCGAGAAATCACCTGGGGGGAAGAGGATAACCACGCTGCAATCCCTTCTACTCCATTCTCCTGGGAGTTGGAACACACACACACACACACACACACACACACACACACACACACATACATATGCCAGGCTTATGTTCTAAGCCTTGAGGGTTCAGGACTTGAACTGTGCTCCAGGACCTGGGAGTCCAGCGACATAACCATCATGCCATCTGCTGGTCCAGAAATCTCCAGGTCCTATAGACCAGCGCCTGATTTTTAGTATAAGTTCATTTATTAAAGCAGGGAATGCTTTTAACCTGTTCTGTTTTGCCTTCTTTATTCTCCATGTCTAGTTACTAGAAAGATAAATCTCTCCATGGGGGCAAGTTAAGTTTATTTGACAGTTATCAATTACCTGTGAATGCAGACTAGGAAAGTATTGGGGTAGAGAGAAAAGAAGTGGAACTCTTTACATGTTTGAGAACCTAACAGAGAAGATTAGACAAACGTACATGAGATAATGGGAACATTCATATATTCATGGAATTGGGAGGAGGACTATTTTGTTTCTTTAGTTGAATTAAATTTTAATTAAATACTTTATGAGGTAAAAATGACAAATTTATAAGAGTTTAATTACCACTTTTCTCAAAGTATAGAGGTCTTTTATGTTATTGGAATTACTGTACATTGTATATATTGTTCTTTTCATTGAAAGCTTCCTGCCTTTCCATGTGGCAGTATAGTTCGTGTGCTAATAATTCTATCTTACGTACATCTTAATATGTTTAACCATTTCCATATTTGGTATTTAGGTTTTCCAGATTTTCAGTGTAAACACTCAGGAATTAGATGTTTGTGAAAGTCTAAACATGAAGACAGAAGTGTGAAATGTGTCAATCTTTCTCTAATAATGACTTAATAGCACCAAGTTTGTTTCTATGGATATGAAACTTACTACTTCTGTAGAAAAAGGAAGCTTTTAGAAAGAAGATGAAACTTTATCAGCATACGAGACTCATCATTTTTCATTGCATTATTTTCAGATTCGGGCCCTTTTTAACATTTAATTTAATCTAGTATTTAATTTTAATTTGTAACATCATTAGTTTCTTTACATTTTTGTTAGCTAGTGTTGGTGTTTTGATAATACAGGGCTTTTAAAAGTCCCTAATTGTGCTTTCCCTTGTGGTGATTATTAGCTGCATGCAGCCTTTAAAGTGAAGGAAAATTAAAAATTTGTTCCTCATTTGTACTACCCACATTTTGAGTGTTCAGTAGCCACATCTGGCTATTGGCTGTTTGGGCAGCACTGATACAGAGCATTTCTATAATCACATAAAATTCTGGAAAAATACCATTTTGGAGTCTTCTCAATCTATAAATACAAAAAGTCATTTTCTTTTTAAAAGTCTTGGAAGACAATTAGCAAACGCCTATTTGTTCATTGTGAGCACCACTTCATATAAATAGTGCACATATGTGAGTGTCAATACTTGTCCTTGATCAGAACAGTTCTCTAAAATATGTCATCAGTCAGGATTTGTGCTGAAGGAATAGGAGACATCTTATCTTGTTCCAGTCCCTCTTTACCACTCACTACTATATTCTTATATTGGTGTGAAGAGGCAGAGAGAGAAGAGATGATGGGAAAGAGAGAAGAGAAGGGAAGATTAGAGCAGCATTCCCCTTCCTGGCACCAGGGACAGACCTCATGGAAGACAATCCCTCCGTGGACGGGGTAGGGGGTGAGGGAATCTGGTCTTGCATGCACCACATCCATCATGCACCCCATTTCCACCACTACCACATTGCAGTAGACAATCATACACACAATAGGGTTTGCACTCCCATGAAAGTCTAGTACCGTTGCTGATCTGACAGGAAGCAGAGCCCAGGTGGCAGTGGGAGCAATGGGGAGCAGCCACAAATAGAGATGAAGCCTTGTTCACTGGCTTGCTGCTATACAGCCCAAAACAGGCCACCAACCCCTGGCTTAGGGTAGTTTGTGTTCTCTTAAGTTGGAGTGTAGAATTAGTGTAGCCAGGTGAATCAAACTGTTCTCTACTCATTCTGCACTTCCACCCCTACCATTGTGGGTAAGTATGGCATATACAGAACATAATAAATATTAACTTTTTCCTTAGCTTTGTATGGGAGGATTCTCGGAAAAACAGCACAGCAAAGGACAATCCCAAACTGCTTGCTCTTAATGAAAATTACGAACTGCTCATCTATGAATTTAATTTGAAAGATGGACAATGTGATGCAACCATTTTGTATAGCTGTAGTGGGGAGACATTGCAAAAGCTCATTGAAGATCAGGGTATCAGTAAGTATCTACAGTATCTTTCAGTATGTTTAAATTTGTGGCAATACTGTATAATTTTATGTATTTCAAGGAAAGTTCTCATAGAGGTGAAATCAGGGAGGGAGGTCTGCACTGTCCAGTGCAGTAGCCACTAATCGGCTAAGGCCATTTAGCCCTTGTAATGTGGTTAACATAAATTAAGATGTACTTTAAGTGTCCTATACAAGAGGTCTTTAAAATGGTCATGTAAAATGCACAGTACGGAAAAACTATGCATGGATTTCAAAAACTTTTCTACCAAAATAAATGCATCCTTTTATTTAAAAAAAAAAAAAAAAATTCTTGGAAGGCACATGTGTTTGCCAGAGAGAAAGAGATGCAGAGAGGTAGGGAGAGGTAGGGAGAAAGCCCCTCCCCCCCAGGAGTGTGGTCAGGCCGCAATCCCTTTTCATCCGATTCTCCATCCTCACAGTCAGTCATGTGAGATCCAGCTCTCTTAACCAGTAGGCCCTGGGGCAAGCCCAAACTCATTCTTTAATTCTATTTTTCTCCCAATTTTTTGAAGTCCTCTCATATGTACTAGATTTTTAAGACTAAATACTAAAATAAAAATAATTTTGGGGGACCACCAGTTAGCGTAATGGCTATGTCGCTGGACTCCCACATAGTCGACCGTGGTTCGCTTGCCGGACCCAGTGGCTTAAAACTCACGCTGGGCGCGTGTGCGTGCATGCCCAAGATCCCAAGAGGAGAATGGAGGAGAAGGAATTGTGGCGTGGCCATCCCCCTTGTGGGGTGATTTCTTGCTTTCTGTCTCTCTGTCCCTCTGTCTGTCTGGCAAGCACACGCGCCCTATAGCAAAAACCTCTCCAAAAAAATAATAATAATAATAATTTTTGTATTGACTACATGTCGAAATGGTGCCATTTTGCATATAATGAGCTAAATGGCATATATTAAAGTTAATTTCACCTATTTCTTTTTAATGTGTCTACTAGAAAACTTAAGATTATGTGGCTTGCATTTGAGGCTCACATATTTCTCTTGATAGTAGTGGTGTAGACTAGCTGCAGGGCCGTTGACTAGTCCTGTCTTCTTCAGGAAGCAGAAATCTAAGTGTCACAGCCTCTGTTTTCAGAGGCTCTTCTCCTTTGATTGTGAAAGTCCTTTATTTTTATTTTTCTTAAGATGTTTATTTGTTTTGCCATAGGGCTTGTGCAGTTGCTGAAGAGAGACTGATGTAATGAGAGGGAAAGTGATAAACCTTCATCCTCAGGGAGGATGGCCATGCCACAATCCCTCTTTTCTCCTCCTGGGATTTTGGGAGTGCACGCACACATGTTCGGCATGATTTTCAAGCCACCAGGTTTGGAACTTGAACCATGGTCAGCCGTGTGGGAGTCCAGTGCCTTTACCACTACATCACCTGCTGGTCCTTTCTTTTTCTTAAAAAAAAAAAATGTTGGTGATTGTTCTTGTGGGGTTCCCGTGAATAAATGAGCTTTTTAAAATCTTTCTAATGTGCTGTCAGACTCCGGCCAGAGTCAGAAAGAGCCAGGGACATTGCAGGTCATCTTCATTTATCTTCTTACTCAACTCTCAGTGACCATTAGTTTAAGTGGGTATGAACAATAACTGCTTAGAGTGGGACTATGTTAAGTACTGTTTCTTTGTTTCTTTGTTATGTTTATGATATCAAATGTACCAATTATAAAATTGTATCAGTGAATTTGAGGTAATATCCTTTTTTTTTCTTTTTTTTTTTTTAAGTAATATCTTTTTGTTTCCTAGGTATTTCCTTATTGTCTTTGAAAATTCTGTCATTTCACAATAACACATCATTATTGTTCATCAATAAATGTATCATCCTGTACATTGTATTTCCGGAAAGAGATGCTGAGGTTAAAGTACTTAGCTGTTTCACATTACCCCTGCCTGCACAGACGGTGGACACAGTTATTGACGCACAACTCTGCAGAGGAATTCTTTTTGTTTTGAGTACTTTAAGCTGGATCTGTATCCTTAGCAGTAAAGATATAAATTGATATGTAGGGGAAGAGAATATCTAAACAAATGAATCTTTTAGGCTTTTAGTCTCGGGGGTTGGGGTATAGAGAGTGGTTAGGTTTTTAGTACAACTTTTCAAGGAAATAGGTTTTCATGAACTTAACATAAAGAACTGTATTACTTCCTATTAGAATATTTTTCAGTGTATAAGTATGTTTTTTCATAGTTATAGTCATCTTTTTTACACTTGTGTTCTTCTAAAATTATATATGCTCCACATTTCCTATTTATTTAAAATATTCCCCTTGAACACCTACTCTGTGCTTGTCCCAGAAAAGGTTTAGATAACTTTTTTTTTTAAAAAAGAGATTCTTGCTGGGACCAGCTGGTGGCGTGGTGGTTAAGGCGCTGGATACTCCCACATGGCTGACCATGGTTCCAATCCTGGACCTGGTGGCTTGCTTTCTCATTTCCCTCTCTATCTCTCTCTGTGTCTCTGGTCAAATGAAAATAAATGAATGAATAAATAAAATTAAATAAATAATTCGTTAAAAAAATAAAAGAGAGAGAGAGATTCTTGCTATAGAGCACATGCACTTACCAGAGAGACAGAAAACGAGAAAACACCCTCTGGAGGGAGGCCACGCCACAGTCCCTTCTCCATTTTCCTCTTGGGATTTTGGACACTCACATACATGCGCCTTGTGGGAGTTTCAAGCCACCAGGTCTGGGACTTGAACCATGGTCAGCCATGTGGGATTCCAGCGAGGTAATCATTATACGATCTGCTGGTCCCTAGATGAGTTCTTATGTAAAACATATCTTTTTATGTGTGAATAAAATTCCCTCTTACCGTCTCTAACAATTATTCTAGCATATTATTAAATGGTTTGCTTAACCATTTTAAATTTATTTTTGGAAAATATTAACAGATTCTTTGTCATATGTTATTTTGAAAAATGATTCCTTATATGATTTGGGGATTTGCATTTCTGAATTTGGGGGAATGGTTTTTCTATTTTAGATGTATAATTTTTGTAAAAATGCCATAAAATACTGGACTTAAGTTTTGCTGACAGGTTATGGGAATGTGCTGTTGAACATGGTAGGCACTAGGCGTGACTACTGAGCACTTGAGATTAATGCATGTGACTTAGAAACAGAATTTTTTTTTTCTTGAGAGATTTTTGTTATAGGATGCATGCACTCACCAGAGAGTCAGAGACAGAAAGCGAGAAATCACACCCTGGGGTGATGGCCACGCTGCAATTCCTTCTTCTCTAGTCTCCTCTCAGGATCTTGGGCACGCACGCACCCGCGACCAACATGCATTTCAAGCCTCCAGGTCCATGCCTGAAACTGTGGTTGGCTCTGTGGAAGTCCAGTGATGTAACCATTATACCATCTGCTGGTCCTGGAAACTGAATTCTAAATTTTTTTTTGAGAGGTTTTCTCTATAGGGAGCATGCACTCGCCAGAAAGGTGGAGAAAGACAGAAAGTGAGAAATCACCCCCCAGGCTGGATGACCATGCCGCAATCCCTTCTCCTCCATTCTCCTCTTGGGATCTTGGGCACACACACACATACCCGCCATGAGTTTCAATCTACTACACAGGAGTCCAGCGACATAGCCATTACGCCAACTGCTGGTCCCATGAATTCTTAATTTTATTTAATTACTTTAGATTTAAAGTTACTACTCCATTCAATTATTGGAAAACTTTTTATTTTAGCTTTTTGTCATAGAGCTAATGTGCTCTCCAAAAAGAGAGAGAGAGAGAAGGAGAGTGAGAAATCATCCCCCAGGGGAGATAGTCACATTACAGATCCTTTTTCTCCATTCTCCTCTAGGGATTTTGTGTATGCACACATGTGTGCATGTACCTGGTGTGAATTTTAAGCCACCAGATCCAGGACTAAAATTGTGGTCGGCCATGTGGAAATCCAACATCTTAACCACCATGCCACCTACTGGCCCCTTGAAAAACTTTTAAGTATGTTTGGCACAACTTTAGTTCAACTTTTCAAAGTTTAAATGCCAGTTAGGTATGTTATTGCCAGTGAAAAATCCGTGTTCCATTTGAGATGTGCTTGAAGTGCAAAATAACAGATTTTTGAACACTTAATCAGAAGAATGTAAAATATCTCAATTTTTATGTTGGTTATAAGTTAAAATGATAATATTTTGGATATATTGTGTTAAATATATTTAGACAGGTTTAGCTAACCTCTTGGACAGCACTATTATAGAACACCAGTGGAAAATATTAGCAGTGTCTCAGGTCCTAGCTCAGAGAGGGTGTATGACAAATATCGTTGAATGAACTCTGTATCAGGTTGTTTACTGTGTCACCAAATTCATAGTCATCTGCTTACTATTGATGATGGTGGCTACCTCAATTTCCAGTCTTCCTACAGAGTTGGAGTAATGACGGTATAGCCTTGTCTGATCTTGTGCTGTAATTGTTGGGCATACTAATAAAATCACATTTTCTGGGATAGGTGGTGTGGTGGTTAAGGGCGCTGGACTCCCACATGGCCGAATGCGGTTCGAGTCCCGGACTTGGTGGCTTGCTTTCTCACTTTCTTTCTCTCTCTGGTCAAATTAAAATGAATAAATAGATAAATAAAGTTAAATGAAAAGTTATTTAAAAAATTATATTTCCTTTAACTGTAACTCAGACATTTTTGACATTGCGGATGGTACACACGTGGCTCATGTGGATTTAGCACTTCACCAAGAAGATCTGGGTAATGAGCAGAAACAGGAGCCAGCCAAGATAGCTTTCTTTACTTCACTGAAAGTGTACTCCCACATGGCCGAATGCGGTTCGAGTCCCGGACTTGGTGGCTTGCTTTCTCACTTTCTTTCTCTCTCTGGTCAAATTAAAATGAATAAATAGATAAATAAAGTTAAATGAAAAGTTATTTAAAAAATTATATTTCCTTTAACTGTAACTCAGACATTTTTGACATTGCGGATGGTACACACGTGGCTCATGTGGATTTAGCACTTCACCAAGAAGATCTGGGTAATGAGCAGAAACAGGAGCCAGCCAAGATAGCTTTCTTTACTTCACTGAAAGTGTCTCAAGACTTGGATGTTATAGTGATCGTCAGTTCCTCCAACTCTGCAGTTGCTCTTAACTTAAATTTGTACTTCAGGTATGTAGATTTCTACCATTTCTTTCTTTTCTTTTCTTTTAGGTTTTTGCCATAGGGCACATGCACTTGCAGGATTCAGAGACACACACAGAGACAGGGAAAGTGAGAAATCACCTCCCAAAGGGGATGGCCACACTGCAATCCCTTTTCCTTCATTCTCCTGGGATTTTAGGCATGCATGTGTATACCTGGTGTGATTTTCAGGTTACCAGGTGTGGTTTCCAGGCCACCAGGTCCACCAGATCCAGAACATGAACCTCGGTTGGCCATGTCAGAATCCAGCACCTTATCCACCATACTACCTACCAGCCCTGATTTCAGCCATTTCTAATTTGAGGTAAATATTTAGAGCCATAAGAGTTTAAAATTGTACTTGTTGGCCTTTTTATACCAGTTTTGTTTTTCTATTCTATTAGATCATATTCTAGCTACTACATAGTGAGGTTGTTAACTATATAATGCGTATAAATGACCATTGGCTAGCCATCATATAAATTAAAAAGTGATCCAGGTTGTACAGTTGTGGGACAAGCAGGTGGTGGTGTGGGTAAGGCTCTGAATTCCCACATGGCTGACCACAGTTTGAGTCCTGGACCAGGCAGCTTGCTTTCTCTCTCTTTCTCTGTCCCTCTCTGGTGAGTGCATGTGCCCTATAGCAAGTTAAAAAATAATTGTAATAATAAATAAATAAGTACTTCTTTTAACTTCTAATGATTAGGGCCACTCAAAGTCATTAGGATTTTTGATTCTCCCTTACTATGAATGAGCAAACAAATCCTTGATAATTAGGAATGTTTTTTTTTGGGGGGGGGGAGATTTTCGCTATAGGGTGCATGCGCTTGCCAGCCAGACAGAGAGAGACATAGAGACAGAAAGCGAGAAATCACCCCCCGGGGGGATGGTCACGCTGCAATCCCTTCTCCTCTCGGGATCTTGGGCACGCACACACATGTGCCCGGCGTGAGTTTTAAGCCACCGGGTCCGGGACGTGAACTGCGGTCGACTACGTGGGAGTCCAGTGACATAGCCATTACGCTAACTGCTGGTTCCCTAGGAATGCTTTTTGATGAATTTTATTGCTTATTGTTTAGATCACAAGAAAGGGTTAATTCATCTTCACATATTTACCATAATTCTTTACTGCTGATATTTTCATTTGCTAAAATGGCCTTTTACTTGTTTTTTAACATTTGAGCAGGGATGACTAGCACATTCTTAGTTTTTTGGGGTTTTTTTTGTTTTTTTTTTTTTGAGAGATTTTCACTATAGGGTGCGTGCGCTTGCCAGACAGACAGAGAGAGACATTAGAGACAGAAAGCGAGAAATCACCCCCCAGGGGGGATGGTCACGCTGCAATCCCTTCTCCTCCATTCTCCTCTCGGGATCTTGGGCACGCACGCACACACGCCCGGTGTGAGTTTTAAGCCACTGGGTCCGGGACACGAACCGCGGTCAAGTACGTGGGAGTCCAGCGACATAGCCATTACACTAACTGCTGGTTCCTGACATTCTTAGTTTTTTGTTCTTGTTTTTAAAGAGGTTTTTATTTTATAGTGTGTGTACTTGCCAGACAGAGAGTCAGAAAGTAAGAAATTACCCTCTGGGAGGATGGCTGTGCTGCAATCCCTTCTCCTCCAGTCTCCTTGGGATTTAGGGCACACACACACACATATACCTGGTGTGAGTTTCAAGCCTCTGGATCCAGGACTTGAACCGCAGTTGGCCATGTGGAAGCCCAGCGACATAACTGCTACACCATCTGATGGTCCCTCAGATTGTGTCTTTATCAGTGATCATTTTTACTGACCAAATATACCCCAAATGTGTTATTTCCTCATTTCATATTTTTCCTTCTCTTTAAACTTTGGTAACTCATCTGCTTTGGATCACAGTTGAGCACTTACTTGTACAGTCTTACATAATATTCCTAAATTTTCGTTTGTTTGTTTGCATAGAGTTTATAAGCTCTTTGGAACCCAGACTGGTGGTTTTTTCTTTCAGTGCATTGTCATTGACTTTTTCTTCCATTTTACTTTAGCTTTCCTCCCCCATAGTCATACCATACGCTTCGTCAGTATTTGAAACTGTTCCTGCCCCAAATCATAACTCAGGCCTCACAACTTCCCAAACTTTCCAGGTTGCTTACTCAAGTACTTGCATGTTGCCTGTCATCTGACCACCTTGGAATTTCCAATCCATTGATCTTCTAGGCTCCATCCTTCTCCTGTCTTTACTTCTCTGTCTTTCCACAACAGAGTCTGTGATCCATTATTTTAGTCACTTTTTGTCTGTTTCTGAATTGCCAGAGGGCATGTGTGCTTGAGAGAGAGAGAGAGAAAGCAGCCCCGAGGGGTTATAGTCATACTACAATCGTTTTTCCTCTGTTCTTCATTTCTGTCAGGATTTGGGGTACATGTGCACATGTGTCCGCCATGTTTTTTGAGCCACCTGCACTAGGACCAAAGCTGCAGTTGGCCATGTGGGATCTGGCTCCCTTAACTGCTGAGCTACGTGGCTGGCCCTCATTCATTTTCTTGCATACACTCTAACCTTCGCTCTGGCCCTGTGGCAGCACTTGGTCTGGCAGAATCTCAGCCCTGAATGAAACCATTAGTCTCAGTGCCTGCATCCAAGCAGCTGAGCACTTCTAAGAAAACCACAAAGGAAAATTGAATTTGTGAACTCTTACGTTCACATTCACCGTCTTCACTTGGTTTTTCAGTATTAGCTGGACTATTACAGTGATTTTTCACCAGCCCATTTTTTACAAGAATGTTTTAAAACTTTGTCTATTTTCCTCAAACGTCTATCTCTTTGTTTCCAACATTTCTTGGTTGAACTTTATAAAGTAGAACCCATATGATGGGAACTCCCTCATTTCTTCTTTTTAAAAATTATCTTCTTTTTTAACCTTACTGCCTAGTGGTTAGGGAAGCCAGATCCCACATGGCCAACTGCATGGTTCAAGTCCCAGATTTGGTGGCTTGAAAACTACTCTTGGGACCAGCAGATGGTGTAGCGGTTATGTCATTGGACTCCCACGTAGTCAGCTGCTGCTTGAATCCTGAAACTCAGGCTGGGCATGTGTGTGTATGTGCCCAAATCCAAAGAGGAGAATGAAGGAGAACGAATTGCAGTGTAACCATCCCCCTGGGGGATGATTTCTCACTTTCTGTCTCTCTGGCAAGTGCATGTACCCTATAGCAAAAGTCTCTCTTAAGAAAAAGAAAGAAAAACACACTTGGGTGCATGTGCATGCCCAAAATCCCAAAAGGAGAATAGAGGAGAAGGGATGCAGTGTGGCCATGCCCCTGGGGGATGCTTCACACTTTACCTACCTCCCTCCATCTCTCTCTCTCTCTCTCTCAGTCTCTCACTGGTGAGAGCACATGCCCTATAGCAAAATTTATATATATATGTATATACACACATATAAATATATATATATATACACACACACATATATATGTATAGCCCCATTTTATATATGTATGTGTGTGTGTGTGTGTGTGTGTGTGTGTGTGTGTGTGTATATGTATATATATATCGGCTTCCTAGTCACATTGCTCTGGTTTAAAGTTTCTCGGACCTTTATTTTCCATTTCTATAAAATGGGGCTATATTTATCTCATAATGTTGTTGAGAGGCTTAAATAAGAGTTTATCTAAATGTTATGCACATCATCTGTAATATGGAAGACAGTAAATGTTTTTATTACTTTATAAAGCTGCTCTTACAGAGTCAGATTCTTCTTTTAAAAATTTGTTTTAAATTTATTGCTAGAGGGTGCATGCACTCATCAGAAAGAGAAAGAGTTTTCCTCTATTCTGTCAGGTCCTGGGTATGTACACATAGATACTTGATATGTTTTTCAGGCCACCAGATCCAGGAATCAGAGTCAGCTGTATGGCATCTTGTTTTCTTTCTTTTTTAAAAAAATTTTTCTTTAATTATTTTATTTATCTTTATCCATTTATTTATTTTTATTTGACCATAAATGGATAGAGTGAGAGAGAAAGTGAGAAAGCAAGCTGCCAGGTCTGGGACTTGAACTGAGATCAGCCATGTGGGAGTCCAGCCTCTCTAACCACCACGCCATCTGCGGGCCCCATGGCATCCTGTTTTCTGTACACAGCTCTTAACTGTTGTGTGACAGGGCCAGCCCAAGAGTCAGATGTCAGATTCTTGAAGTTGATATTATCACTGTGCTGTAAAGCCAAGATGAGGCACTTCATTCAGAGGAATCAGTTGTCTATACTGTTCCTTTTCTGTGATACTTTTTTTTTTTTGAGAGAGTGTTTTGCTATAGGGCATGTGTGCTTGCCAGAGAGACAGAAAGTGAGAAATCACTCCCCAGGGGGATGGCCACGCCACAATCCCTTTCCCACCATTTTCTTCTCAGGACCTTGGGTATGCACACACAGGCACCCAATGTGAGTTTTAAGCCTCTGAGTTCAGGACTCGAACTGCTGTCAGCCATGTGGGAGTCCAGGGATGTAACCATACGCCATCTGCTGGTCTCAATACCTTGTTTTTAACAGGAGTAATAGTAATAAAATTTGAATTTGATAACTTTTTTTTTACTATGTCTTATTTTTTTAATATAGGCAACACCCAGGGCACCTACTATATGAAAGAACACCAGAAGACCTTCCTATTCAAGGACCTAAGGGGATAGATGAAGATGATCCTGTTAATTCTGACTACAACATGAAACTGACCAAGTTGTCCTTCCAGGTTGATAGGTACAGAAATTTCTTTTTTGGATTTAGTGTATGATTTCCTTTTTAAAAATCATGTTGACATAGGGAACCAGCAGTTCGCGTAATGGCTATGTCGCTGGACTCCCATGTAGTCGATCGGGGTTTGTGTCCCGGACCTGGTGGCTTGAACCTCACGTCAGGCGCGTGTGCGTGCGTGCCCAAGATCCCAAGAGGAGAATGGAGGAGAAGGGATTGCGGCATGACCATCCCCTCTGGGGGGTGATTTCTCTCTTTCTATCTCTCTGTCTCTCTCTGTCTGTCTGGCGAGCGCACGCACCCTATAGTGAAAATCTCTCAAAAAAAAAAAATCATGTTGACATAGTCTTTTTACTAAAGATCTTTACTTTGTAGGTTTTAGTTTTTTGGGTTTTGTTTTGTTTCGTTTTTGTGGGTTAGAGAGATTTTCACTATAGGTGCGTGTGCTCACCAGAGAGACGGAAAGTGAGAAATCACCCCTCAGGGGAATGCCTTGCTGCAGTCCCTTCTCCTTATGGGGCACACATGTACTGGCGCCTGGCATGAGTTTTAAGCTGCCAGGTCCAGGACTCAAACCACAGTAAACTATGTGGGACGCCAACAATGTAATCATTATGCCATGTGCTGGTCTTGAGCATCTTTGCTTCTGTTTACTATTTTGCCTAGTCCCTCTCATTATAACAGGTGTAAGTGCTACTCTATCTTCCAGGTCTTGGAAAGCCCAGCTATCATCACTGAATGAAGCAATAAAGAGCTCCAAACTGGAAGTTTCCTGCTGTACTCCATGGTTCTGGGATATTTTGCGATCAGAGTCTCCTAAATCTGGTAACCACAGTACCAGCTGGGCTTTCCTTCCACAGGACTTAATGCATGGCCACTATCATTTTCCACAGGAAGATCATGCCAAGACCAGTGATCCAGGAAAATCATGGAAGATAATGCACATCAGTGAACAAACGGAACCCAGAGAGCTTAGATGCATGTCTGTGACAGGGTTCACTGCACTGTTTACTTGGGCAGTGGAAAGGACAAGCTGCACCATTGTCCTCTGGGATTTGGAGACCCAGGGCATGCAGTGTTTCTCTCTCAACAAAAAGTGCATTCCTGTGGACAGTAATGGAGAGCAGCCACTATGCCTTGTTTTGACAGGTGAGAATATTTTGTATCAGACTGACATCCATTGTATCAGACTGACACCCACTGAAAGCTGAAAGATGTACTTTCTTAATGTATTTTATTCTGCTGCCCACATGTTTGTTTTCACCTCTAAGTGATCATTGTTCATGGAGGAAATTGTTACTCTTGGTAGTGTTATCTAACTGTTGATTTTTTTTTACTTAAAGTCATTTCAGCTAAATGCTAGGATACTAAAAGAAAGTTATAAGAGTAATAAAGGTTGAATTTTTATTTTTTATTCATTTATTTTTTAAGAGATATTTTTTACTACAGGGTGCGTACACTCGCCAGAGAGATAGAAAGAGGAAGCAAAAAATCACCCCCCCAAGGGGGGTGACCATGCCACAATCCCTTCTTCAGTCTCCTCTTGGGATTTTGGGCATGCACTCACTCACCCCTAAGTGTGAATTTCAAGCCTCTAGATCTGGGACTTAAACCACGGTCGACTACATGACGTAACCATTACACCATTGCTGGTCTCGATAAAGATTGAATTTTAATCCACGGTTTTCATTTGACTATATACAGTAAGCAGAGGTTGTAAGCTAGCTGCTTCTGGAACATGTATGAACTACAGATATATTTTGTTTGACTTGTGTTAATTACTGTTTTTTTTTTTATCATTTTTATTTTTAGAGATTTTGTTTTTTGCTGTAGGGTTTGTACACTCACCGAAGAGACAGAGAGAAAATGAGAGATCACCCCCTGGGGGATGACCACACTGCAATCCCTTCTCCTCCATTCTCCTCTCAGGATATTAGCTACATATGCACACACACATGCCTAGTGTTTTTTACGCCACTATGTCTAGGACTTGAATTGTGGTATGTCATGTGGGAGTCTAGCCACTATGCCACCTGCTGGCCCCATTAACTAGATTTAAAAAAAAATTTTTTTTGCCTATTATAAACATGCAGAATTAGAGGATTTTGCACAAAGTCAAGGTTCCCAGCTGTTACTGATAAATTATAAGATCTGACAACTGGACCTGCATTTATGCCTTGGAGCTTATTGATAGTTTTGATTATTCTCTTAGATGGGCCTTTTTTTGTTTCTAGTTAGGCTGTTCTTGTGGTTCTCTCACTGTCTGCTTGGCCCCTGTTGGCAAGAAACTTTTGTTTTGTTTTAGGAGAGAAAGATATTTTTGACAGTTTCACCATATTACGAACCTCTGCCCCAGCCTCTTGGCTAGCCAGATTACAGGTGTGTGCTACCATGCCTGGCCTGTTTACATTGGCCCAGAAACTGAATCTGGACCTCCCATGTGGTCCCAGTCTCATGTAGCAGCACCTTACTGCTTGCACCACCATGGCAGGCCTGGGGCATTTTGATGTATCAGATATCAAAATGTGTGTCATATATCATAACTTCCTACAAAGTTATGAATATTGTGATTGAACTAACCATGTGCTTCTTCTGTACCCAAAATTTAGTAATCATGTATTTCCATATGTTAGGAATATACTGTCAATGGCTTTATTTTAGTAAACTGGGACCTGACATCTCTGTAAATAAAGGTTATGAGAGAGAATGTAGTGCAGAAATGTGAGAGTCAGTGCTGTTTCTTAGGATGGATTATTCTTATGAGAATTTGCCTGTGGATAATATTTTTAAATAAAATCTTTCTTTTAAAACATTGAAAAACTGGGACCAGCAGTTAGCATAATGGCTATGTCACTGAACTCCCATATAGTCGACTGTGGTTTGGGTCCCAGATCTGGTGGCTTAAACTCACATCAGGCGCGCGTGCGTGCGTGCCTAAGATCCCGAGAGGAGAATGGAGGAGAAGGGATTGTGGTGTGGCCATCCCCCCTGGAGAGTGATTTCTCATTTTTTATCTCTCTGTCTGGCTCTCTCTCTTTCTGGCGAGCGCATGCACCCCATAGCAAAAACCTCTCCAAAAAAATAAAAATTAAAAAAAAATTGAAAAACCAAACCAACCTGGCTGTATGACCTGGTTGTTAAGGGAGCCAAATCCCAAATGACCCACCAAGAGGTTCAAATTCCAGCTCTGGTGACTTGTTCAAAATCCTAGGCTTGTATGTGTGCACACCACAAATCACAACAGGGTAGAAAAATGGTAGAGAAGGGATTGCAGCATGATCACACCCCATTTGGTGTGTTTTCTACCTCTCTCTCTCTCTGTGTCTGTCTCTGTCTCTTTGTCTCTCTTTGGTGAGTGCACATTGCCCTTCAGCAAATTTTTAAAAACTAAAAATGAAAAAAATTGAAAACTACAATGAATTAAGGTGATAACAGTAGATGGTATCCAGTAATTGTAGTACTGAAATATTAATTAGAAATTAATTTTAAAATCTCTGAGTCATAATTCTAAAAACTCAAATTCTTTTTTTAAATGTTTTTATTCCCTTTTTTCTTTATTATTATTATTATTTATACATTCAATCACTGTACATCATTTAGATTTTAAAGAGACTTTATCCAGCATGGTATACACCTCAATACAGTCCAGTTGAGACTACTCTTCCCCTCTCTCACTTTCCTTCCACTTTGCCCATGGTGTCCATGGCAATTTTTAATGCTTTTATGTTCTCCAGACTTTCAGTCTCTACCACAGAGTGTGGACAGTCAGTATATGTTAAGTGGAGACATACAATGTCTCTCTTTCATAGCCTGACTTGCTTCACTCAGCAACAGATCTTCTATATTTGTCCACTTTCTATCAAATCCCAGGGCCTTGTTGTTTTTTATGGCTGAATAGTATACCATGGAGCGGAGCATATACACTTTTTCAATCCATTCATCTGTTCGTGAACTTTTTGTTAATTAATTAAAAATTATTTTATTTGCTTTATTATTTATTTATTTTATTTTATTTTATTTGACCAGAGAGGGACAGAGCAAGAGAGTGCACCTGAGAGAGAGAGGAAAGTGAGAAAGGAAGTCACCAGGTCCAGGACTTGAACCATGGTCAGCCATGTGGGAGTCCAGCGCCTCTAATCACCATGCCACAGCCTGGCTCAAAACTCAAGTTATAATAATTTATTCACAATTAAAAATTTTTTTTGAGAGGTTTTTGCTATTGGGTGTGTGCGCTCACCAGACAGACAGAGAGAGACAGAGAGACAGAAAACAAGAAATCACCTCCCAGGGGGGATGGCCACGCCGCAATCCCTTCTCCGTTCTCCTCTCGGGATCTTGGGCACGTACGCACACGCACCTGGCATGAGTTTTAAGCTGCTGGGTCCGGGACGCGAACCACGGTCGACTACATGGGAGTCCAGTGACAGCCATTACGCTAACTGCTGGTCCCACAATTTAAATTTTTTTAAGAGGTTTTTGCTATAGAGCGTGTGGACTTGTTAGACAGAGAGACAGAAAGTGAGAAATCACCCCCCGGGGGGATGGCCACGCTGCAATCCCTTCTCCTCCATTCTCCTCTTGGGATCTTGGGCACGCACGCACATGCGCCTGGCGTGAGTTTTAAGCCACTGGGTACAGGACGCGAACCGCGCTCGACTACATGGGAGTCTAGTGACATAGCCATTACGCTAACTGCTGGTCCCACGATTTAAATTTTTTTTTAAATAAATTTTATCTTTTCCACAGAAAATGGACTCTCTCTGATTTTGTTTGGTTCAACTCAAGAGGAATTTTTAAACAGACTAATGATCCATGGAAGTGCCAGCACAGTGAACTCTCTTTGTCATCTCAATGGTTGGGGAAGATGTTCAATTCCCATTCATGCACTTGAGGTAACAGATTATGTCTGTAAAACTTTACTTGGTTACTTTCTGCTACTTACTCTTATTTGCTAAGATTTGGGAGAGTTCACTTAACCTAGCAGCAAAAATATAGTCTTTACGCATTCATTTGCTCAGTTCTGTCTATTTCATTACCTTTTGGCTTCAAAAGATATGATACTATATAGTACTATTTAAGAAAGAAAAATATTTTAAAAATGGAGTCAACAATAAGCTAATGAGAGTAAATGCAGTGGAAGTAAGCTGTGGAAAACTTCAACAGGAATGATCTTTTATTCCTACCTTATACTCCCTAGTTTTCTAACCCAGCTTTAGAAGAGACACGACTTAAATTGATATAGCTCTTTATAATTCACAAACAGTCTTTATATGCATTATTTAATTTAGTCTTAAAACAACCACATGAGATGGATTGGGTAGTTTTGTGTTTAGATGTTCTATTTATTTCATGAGAAAGGGAGAGAGAGAGAAAGATACCCATGACAGGATCTTCCCACGCCTCAGTTCTAACTCCAGCCTCCAAGGCAACCAGGACTACAAGTGCATCTGGACATGCCCAGTGTGTTCATGCTGACCTGGAATCCAAACTCAAAGTTTCCATATGGTCCCAATATTGGGCTGCAGTTCCCTACCATCTGTGCCACAATGGCTGGGCTAGATTGGATAGTTTTTATTCTTTGTATTTGACCGTGAAGAAACTTAGGCTTCCAGTAGTTGAACAAGTGGCCCCAAGCCATACCAATAAACACTGGAGCTGGAATCAAAGTTAAAGCAATTTCTGCTATACCATACAGTTCCCATAAGTTAGCAATGGTTGTTTTTTGTGTTTTTTTTTGCATTTTTTTTTGCATGTTTTCTTTTTCTTAAAGACAGCTTTATTGAAATACAGTTTGTAGTACCGTAATATTTATCCTTTTAAAATGTACAATCCAGGGGCCAGCAGGTGGTGTGGTGGATAAGGGTGTTGGATTCCCACATGGCCAACCATGGATCAAGTCCTGGACCTGGTGGCTTGCTTGCTCGCTCTCTCTCTCTCTCTCTCTGTCTCTCTCTCTCTCTCCCCCTCTCTCTTTTCTCCTCTCTCTCTCATCAAATAAAGAAAAAAATAGCAATAACAAATGGGAATAAATAAATAAATAATTCTTTTAAAAAAAGTACAATCCAGTGATTTTTAGCATATTCAGAGTTGTGCAGTGATCACCACTAATTCCAGAGTATTTTTATTATTCCCAAACAAACCCTGTATCTACTGGCAGTCACTCCTTAGTCCTTGCTGCCCCCAAGTTTCAAACACTAATCTACTCTTGGTACTTGATATTAGCCTAAAGGCCAGTACACTGTTTGTCTACTTTCTGACTCTGAATTTTCCATTCTAAACATTTGATATAAATGGAACTACAAAAATATGTGACCAGTTGTAACTGGCTTTTTTTTTTCTTTGACTTAGCATGTTTTCATCCATGCTGTAACATTTATCACTACTTCACTTTCTTTTGTGGCTGAATTCCATTATATATACACACACACACACATTATACACACACACACACATTATACACACACACACACACATACACACTACATTTTGTTTATACATTCATCAGTTGGTGGGCATTTGAGTTGTTTCTGCTTTTAGCTGTTATGAATAATCCTGGTATTAACATTTGTGTACAAGTTTTTGTGTTGATAATGTGCTTTCATTTCTCTTGGGTATCCACCTAACTGTGGAATTACTGGGTCATTCCATTATATTGAACATGTTCCATGTACTTACTGGCTGTTTGTTTAGTTTTTTGACAATGTCTACTCAATTACTTTGCCCCTTTTAAAAAGGGTTATTTGTCTTTATATTGTTGAGTTCTAAATATTTATGTATTCTGGATATTAGACCCTTATGAGGTGTGATTTATCAATATTTTCTCCCATACTGTGGGTTGTCTTTTCACCTTCTTGATGGTGTCTTTTTTTTTTTTAATTTAATGTTCTTATTATTTATTTCATGAGAAAGAGAGAGTGAGTGAGAAAAAGACAGGCACCCTCAACAGAGTCTCACATCATCCTCCTCCCCTGAGGCTGTCTCAGCCAGTCAAGATCACAGGCATACATGCTAGTACCCAACACATATTCATTGACTTGGGAACCAAACTGATAGATATTCCATATGGCTTTCAGCATTGTTGAGTGACACATTTACACTGCACTACTACAGCTGGGCCCTTGATGGTGTATCCTGAGAGGAGAACAGAAGAGAAGGGATTGTGGCATGACCATCTACCCTGGGGGGTGATTTCTCGCTTTCTGTCTCTCTGTCTCTCTCTGTCTTTCTGGTGCCCTATAGCGAAAAAAAGTGAGAAAAAGGAAAAAAAGAGGTAATCAACTTTGTCAAAATTTTTAAAAATTTTGTTTCAGTCACACAGGTCCTATAGCAAAACTCTCTCAAAAAAAGAAAAAGATAAAAAAAGAATAACATCAATTTACTATATATATGTATATATATACACACACATATATAATATGCAATATATATATGAAAACTGTATACAGATATATAACTATACAGATGCACACGTATACACATATATGAGAGAGAGCACATACATGGGGAAAGAAGGAGGGAGGGGGAGAGAGATTCTTTAAAAGGGTCTCACTGTATTGTGTTACTCCTGTTCCAGCCTCTTAGTTACCTAGAACCACAGTTGTGTGCCACTGCACACAGCCTGGCCAAAGTGACATGGGAACTGCACCTGGGCTGCCTACACAGCCTCAGGCACCATGTCGTGGCACCCTCCCGCTTGCACCACTGCAGCCAGACCAAATAATGTGTACCTACTCAGAACACCTCACAGCTGGGAAAGGAACTAACTTAACCTTATAAAGGACGTCTTAATATGTGCGTACACCCACACACATGCACATACACAATGAAAGCATACTTAATAGTTAAGACATGCCCAGTGTGGCTTCGAATGGTTAAAAGTGGTAGAACTAGAAAGGTTTTCTAGTCTAATAACCTGTTTCTACTGAAACAGAAGCCAGTGTTCAGAAAGGTTACAATGACTTGCTCCAGATCACACCATTAATCATTGTCAGAATCCTTATTTTAACTCAGGTACTCAAGCAAAGTAAAGATAGCCTTGGGGACTGGCCGGTGTCGTGGTGGTTAAGGCGCTCCCACATGGCCAACCACAGTTTGAGTCCTGGACCTGGTGGTTTGCTTTCTCACTTTCCCTCTCTCTCTGTCCCTCTCTGGTGATTAAAAAATAATAGTAATAATAATAAATAAAATTAAACAGTTATTTTTAAAAATAAAAATAACATGTTGTCTCTTTTATTCTCAATGCATAGGGTTCTAAAGTTTTTAAAAAATGTGTGTCCTGATTTATTTTCCTATTTTATTTTTTACCCCCCCCCCCACCTCCCCTTTCCCCCCATTTCAGCCTGGGATAGAAAATCGTCAACTGGACACAGTAGATTTCTTTTTGAAGAGCAAGGAAAATCTTTTTAATCCATCCTCAGAATCTTCTGTACCTGATCAATTTGACTGTGTTCCATCTCATTTATATTTAAGAAGTAAGTAGAATAAACACTTATATTTTTATACTTATTAATATTTTAGTCATTTTCAAGCTATTGTTCTATTTTCTCATAACTTGTTTTTTTGTTTTTGGTCAAAATTTAGTCAGAATTTTATGTACTTCGTAGAAATGAGATAGTTGTGAGAATCTATAAATGTTTCCAATCTAAGTGGGGTTTTCTTGTTAACACTGTGCCACGAAGAGATGATCTTTCACATTTGAGATAATTTTATAGAAGAGAGAATACAATTCATTTGGAAAGTTGCCTGTTTTGCCATTGTCAGAGATGCATATTGACAGTATGGATTTTTGAGTTGTAGACTGAGATTTGTTCTAAGAGTTTTCACCCTGAATCATCTTCATTTTGGCTACATTCTTCCTTTCTGGGTTTTTGTTTGTTTGTTTGTTTTAGATTTTTGTCATAGGGGTCATGTACTTGCCAGAGAGACAGCGAGAGGGTAAGAGATGCCCTGCTCCCACGGGGAGGGCTGTGCTGCAATCCCTTCTCCCTTATTTTCCTGTTGGTATTTAGGGCATGGACTCACATGTGCCCGGCATGATTTTCAAGCTGCCAGATCCAGGAATCGAATTGTAGTCAGCTATGTGAGAACCCAGCAACTTAACCACCACACTGTCTACTGGCTCCTTAGCTTTTCTTTTTAACAAATAGGAAACCCAACTTTTATTCTTAGACCAGATAGTAATGCAATCTTCTTTTTAAAATAGGGTAATAAAATGTGTTGTCCTCTATACGTACAATTTCATAATCTGTTTTTTCACTTTAACATAGTATAGACAGCTTTCTTTCTTTCTTTTTTTTTTTTTTTTTTGAGAGGTTTTTGCTATATGGTGCGTGCACTTGCCAGACAGACAGAGAGAGACAGAGAGACAGAAAGCAAGAAATCACTCCCCAG